TGTGTGTGTGTGTGTGTGTGTGTGTGTGTGTTGCAAAAGCCTGTGAGTGAGTTGTTGTATGTGTCACTGCACATATATGTGCACAGACACGAACGAATCTCAGCTCAGATATGCCCATGCACACAGTGAGTGTGTTTTAAAAGCACCAGTGTTTCTCATAAATGCACACGGTGAATCTTTGGGTTTGTACTCATGTCTAATGTGTGTGTTTGCGCACTCGTGTGTGTGTGTTTGTGCACTGGCGTGTTGAAGACTTTATTGAGGCTTTTGCACAAATTGCAATGGGGTTGTGTGTGAGTGCTCTTTCCCATACTCACACACCCCTCTTCTTCAGTCTGTTTCAGCCTGTCTGGTTTCCACTCTGTCATTCCCTCTATGTCTGTATCGTCTCTGGCTTTCAAGCCCAGCTCAACTGGCTGATAAAATCTGAGCATGTTCCGCCTGCCCAGTGTTTCCTCAGTATCACATTCTCTCTTTGTTTTCCTCTCTACCACTCTCCAAGGCCATGGAGTGTGTGTCTATGTACGTGTCCACGTGCATGTGTGTGCGTGCATATGTTTGTCTCTCTGTGTGAGTGTGTGTGTGTGTGTGTGTGTGTGTGTGTGTGTGCGCCCATACCACATAATTGGTCTTGATATCAAAGCCTCATATCTCCAGAGGGTCTCACAAGGCTTCTCAGGCAACCTAGAGAGGACCTGATATCGCTGCATTTCCCAGATTATCTCCCCATTGGGATACACTGGGTTGAAGGGGAAACGAAGCCGTGGCCATGAAAGTTACGCTTAATCTGTTTTAGCGATATACTGGCCTCAGTTCAATGACTCACTCCGTTTTATCAGGTTTTCAAGTGAAGCGCTTCTATTTCAAAATGGCTCCGGAGCATTCTTTGTTTTAACTTCCATTTTAGTTCGTTGGTTTGACTTTTGTTCATTATTGAATTAAGAAAATGTACATATGATTCCAGGTTTAATTGCTTTATTAGGCTGACTCTTTTGGCACAAGTCCCCTCCACTGCTTTCTACATGTGATTTCCTGAAAGTCAGGATCAGTTCCATTGTGTCTGTTAAAGCAGCCGTGTTGGCTATAGCTAGGGTGTGGTAAGGCTGAGTGTACATTAAAGTGTCACCGGGGAGAGTTATATCAGGACAACATGAAGCATTTGAAGGTTTGGGCTGTTCGGTGCTGCACGGGGAGAGAGCTGCGAGCCAAAATGGTGGAATGCCTGCAAGTTAGAACGATCTACTGACATAAAAGTGACTTGATGGCTTCTACGGAGATGCTTCTCAATGCATTCCTTGTCCCTTACTGATACTTGAGTGCTTCATAGACCGAATACCTTTCAGCGCACTCTCTCTTCTCTCTCTCTCTCTCTCTCTCTCTCTCTCTCTCTCTCTCTCTTATTCTCTCTATCCGTCTCACACACATGCATTCAGGCACTTATGTGTGGACACTCTGAAGAATGTGTAGGCAGCGCACACGGGCACACAAACTCTGTTTTGCTACCCCTGCCACAGCTACCATGTTAGAAAATTACTTCTGGACTTCAAACAGACTTTCCCCTGACACCTCTATACCGCCTCGCCCACCTTGTCACCTTGTTTGCCCTTCTGCTTTTCTTTCTCTCTCCTCTCCCCTTCTCTATTGCTCTGCCTTTTTTCTCTGCCTTCCCATCCCTCTTGAAGAAGTCCCTCAACACAAAGGAAAACCACTTTGACAAGAAAGACAAGGGTAGGGAGTTGTTCCCCCTTCTCTTCCGCTCCCTCTCTCTCCCTTGCTTTTGAAAGTGTTAAATAACAACATGGTTTATTTATTATTCTCCAATCTGTCACTCTCTTGATATCCCCAATTTTGTCACTCCAATTCCATTTTTTTCCTGCAATCTTTTCATTCCTCAAATTGCTTCTCACTCCCTACTTCTCACCCTCATTGTCACTTACTTTCTCCCTCACCATCTGTTTCAGTTTTCATGGCCCTTTCCTGTTTTTCCATTCAATTCTTTCTTTCCCTAGCTCAGAGGAAAGGTGGGGTTGAGCCTTGAAGGCAGGGACTTATGTGGTACAGTATATATTTTATATGAAGACCCCCTCTTGACCAAGTGTGCCAGGGCTGAAGGTTGTAGAGGCATCCCTAGTCTCAAGATTAAGCCCCAGCCTTCAATGGCCCCAAGGATCCTAGGTGCACTATCTTTGTAAACACACAACTATGCACCAGCCCGGTGTGCACACACACCAATGAATAGACATGCATGCATGCATGAAAATGCATGCTTGCTCATGCATGTATGCTCACACACTCTCTCGCCCATGCACAGAAACACACACTCTTGCTCATCAGTTCCCGAGCTTGGTCAACTTCTTCTGGCAGCCTGTCTCTTTGGAACTGAGTCTCAGTCTTCAAAGCACCAGGCTAGTGTTCTAGTGTGTGAATGCATCTGTGTCTATATGCCCGCCTGTGTGTGCACATGTGAAAATGTGTACATCTATAGATGTTTGCCTTTGTATGTGTGTATGTGCGTCGGCAAGCGTGCACCCGCATGTTTGAACCATTCACATGGGAGACTGTAAAGAAACCTCTGAAGTTCGTTCCCTTTGACACAGAATTATAGAAAAGCTCTTGAATCAGTGACTGCAATCTAGTGCTGACCATGTGCTATAGTGCAGGGGTGTGTAAAGTAGTGAAGAATGCAATATAGACTGGCACTTTTTTTCAGGTATACCTGGTATACTTTATCTGTCTTCTCCATTTGAGTCTAATCCATCTCTGTAAGCACAGAAGGAGAAGAAGAGAGAGGCAGAACACATAATGATAGAGACATAGACAAATAAATTCTCTAAACCTACATAAATCTTCCATTTTTTATCATTATTCCAGCCCAGCGACTCTAGATAAGTACAAAAACAATATTATCTGGTAAAACGAAGTTTTGCTCCAAGTCTGTATTGTGTGTTTTGTGTGTGTAATGTCTTGTAGAAGTGGACTCACCAGGATATTAACAATTATATCTTGTTATTATATCTATCTCTGACTTTTTCTGTCAGTATCTGTGTACTTGTCTTCTTCCTCTGTTAACTATCCTGCTTCCCACTGAATGAGGTCATATCTGGAAATGTCCTACTTAATATTTGTGTGTGTGTGTGTGTGTGTGTGTGTGTGTGTGTGTGTGTGTGTGTGCTGCCACCCTCATATAGTCACCACGGTTACAGGAGATGCCCTGCGGCACCCTAGGGGCCCAACTGTCACCCTTGCTCAGTGCGGTAATTAGGGCCCACACACATGCATGCATATGTACACATAAACACACACTCTCTCACACACACACACACACACACACACACACATACTCAAAGATAGATGCATATATTGAGAGAGGACATAGGAGTGAAGGTGCACTTAAAAACATACAAATTCTGGCATATGTGACAGAAATGAACATAAATGTTTGTCACATGATTTTTTTTGTCCCTCACACAT